CTGAATAATATTCCAAAAACCTAAAAGAAATCACATATAAAGTTTTAGACTAACAAGTCTGTAACTAAAACATCAAATGTCTTTACTTTTTTAAAAAAATTTTATTTTGGTAAAATATATATCACAAAAAGTTTGCCATTTTAACCATCTTTAAGTATACAATTCAGTAACATTAATTACATTCACGGGTTTTTTAACTTTTGACTGAGAGTAACATTGGTTAATTTATGCTGACAGGCTATTAAATTTGCTTGATTAGTTTTGAAAAAATAAAGAAAAATAAGAAGTGGGGTGAAATTAGTTACAACAACTGGGCATCAGGAGGCAGTTAATTAGACAGAAGTTCCCCAACTTTTCCTGATAAAGTGCTACTTCTAATTTCTCCAAAGTTTAATGCTTTTAAAGGTAGAATTGTGAGTACAAAAGTCAAGAAAACAGCTCTAAGCTGGGTGGCCTTGTTTGCATGAAACTGCCTGGAACTATGGAGGCAGCACCTTTAGGAAACAGCTAGGTACACATTTAAGACCTATCAAATGAGTAGCCTATTACAGAAAATTATTTTGAATAAAATCTTTCATTAAAAATTCATTAGGTTTATTTTTCCCTAAAGAATAATTTGTATTTTATGGGTCATTATTTATATATAAGATTTTATTCATCTCTGACTTTCAGTTTTCAAAATTCAATGTCTCATGCTATTTCCTCATTAGGAAATAGCTCGCGATATTTTGCCATTAAATAAATTTACCTGGCCAGCCATCCACAAATCTGTATAGAAACTGCCTAGGCTAACTCAAGAGAAGCTTGGGAAAGGTATTTCAGTTTGTTTCATTATTTAGAAAAAAACTTCAAGACATTATTATCAGAAATGTGCAGGCAATTCACAACCCAAGCATAAAAACCCTCGTTGAGAATTTCCAGGTTTACATCTGTAGCTATGTGCTAACACAGCATCTGGCACATAGCACACACTCAATAAATATGTACTGCACTGAACCAAAGAAAGCAAGACAGATGCTTCCCGTATTGCGGAACTTCAGTTAAATTGATGTCATGTGTGTAGGGCTTAGGAAAGAGAAAAAATCTACCAGATTAGATGGTCTCAAGAGGAAGGTCAAGAAGTAACAAAAGGGGGAAACTAACCAATATTCAAAATAGCCATAAATTCACTCAGTAATGAGATAAGCAATCCAGAGGGGCCTACACTAAGCAGCTCTTTCAAATAAACTCCTAGGAGGAAGGACAGTACTGTACATAAGGATTGCATACGACTTAACACTAGACATTACAGATATTAATAGTTGTTAGCAACCAACTAAGATTCAAATGTGCTGAAGGAAATTTCTCTTTGAATTGAAAATGTATTTCAAAAATATAATCAGATCGTATAAGGAAATACTTGTCAAAATGTGGTACCCAAACCACATCCATCATAATCACTCGAGGCACTGTGAACATGCACTCTTCCAAGACGTACAAAATCAGAACAGGGAAAGGAGAAGGGAAGCACTGAGAATCTGTATTTATAGCAAAATTCCAGATGAGGTACATTAAAGACTTTTGATATAAAGCACCTATGATTATATGCCAGAGTAAGGGAAAGAGATTGCTCCTTTTCTGCTCCTGACTTTTCTGTCCATTGTTTCCTTACTTCCTAAAGATCTGTATTTCCCATACTCTTACACTTATTAATTAGCCTTTTTTTTTAAGTTCTAATACAGTATTTAGAACATTCTTTTCCCATTCTCTAGTCTATAGCCCACCCAAAACTAAAGTGCAACAGCTTTTTCTGTATTGGAAATAATCTACTATGCTGTATATATAAGCCGATTCTGATTTAAACAATAGGTCATGTATCCCTAAACCAATTTGCAAGCAATGAACCACTTCATTTTCAATTCAAGTTTGTTTGTATCTAGTGATGCAACATTATTAAACAATTAAAGTTATGTAAAGAAGATAAAACATAGCTGATCTCTACCCATTGACGATACCTTGCCTACTTGAGTAGTTTCTTTCAAGGTCATGTTGTAAGAGTCGACCAGGAAATGATGATGTTTCTTTATTTAGCTTGAATTCAACCTAAAAAAAAAAAAAATTATTTAAGAAAAAAATATATTTGGAGAAAAATTTAACAATAAGTAATGAAGATACTGATAGGATATACAATAACTGTTACAGGCTACAACATAGATAAACCTTAAAAACATTTTGCTAAGTGAAAGAAGGCAGACACAAAAGGCCACATGTTGTATGATTCAGTTAATACGAAATGTCCAGACTAGGCAAATCCATAGAGACAGAAAGTAGATTTGTGGTTGCCAGGAGCTGGGGGGAGCAAGGGAATGGGGAGTGACTGCTTAGTGGGTAGGGGGATTCTGTTTGGGGTGATGAAAAAGTTCTGGAACTAGGTAGTGGTGATGGTTGCAAAACATTGTGAATGTACTTAACGTCACTGAATTGTACACTTTAAAATAGCTAAAATGGTCACTTTAGTTATGTGTATTTCACTACACACAAAACAAAATTAGAGTCAATTTCATTAAGTCAGATGAAAGCATGCTCCAGTCTGAGGCACTTCCCATCGCCCCACTCCATCACCCCAAATGCAATGATTAAAACAGTCATTTCCTCCAAAAAAACAAAAACATACAATAAGAAGTAAATGCTGCTGAAAAATCACTCTGTTTTGATCTTTAGAATCCCTTTAAAGGTCCAACCATAATAATAAAGTTGCATATTTAAACTTTCTAGGAAGGGCTTCCACTAAATTTATTATAAGTAATTATCTGGTAGGAAAATTGAGAAAAACAAAACCAAAAGAACCTCTCATGATTAAACACATATACAAAACCCTCAATATCTATTTTAAAAGAATTATGATGCTCCTGGTTCACACATACCATAAACATTATGACACTATTTGCACTATATTCTTATGAACTAAAGGTATTTTCTCAGAACGCATGTCCACATAAGGGCAAATGAACGGTTTGGAAAGACTCTGGATGAGGCAAATAGTTCCTAGAAACATGCTGTAATGGCAGAATAGGATTTGGCCGCGGAAATCAATTAGCGAAGCTCGGGGGGAATCCACCATGTGCAGTTATCAGAAAGAATATTTCAATTAATCTGGCTAACTGCTGCTGATTCAAAATGATCAAAATGATTTATTTTCCAAATTTCTGCCATGTTCACATGCATATATGACGTATCAACTGCTACTTGCTTGACTAACGATGCCCTTCCTTACCCAAATCATGCTGTTATCTGTAAACTTCACTTTAGAGTTTCCCCAGTGACATCTATTTAACAATGTTTTAGGAAACAACCAAACTGTGATAGGTGGAGGAGTCCGACTTGGTCAAAGGAGGAAAATCATGTTATGTCTGGGGACACGGTCGTGTGGGAAGTATATCTGACTGCTGAGGTGAGAAGAGAGAGGAAGAAAAAGACGTGTACTTCAAAATCTCAAAGGCCAGAAATTCTGGAAATGCCAGGGATATTATGGGTAAATTGTCTGGGAGAGAAAATCGCATGTTCATATCTTCACTTCTAAATAACATTAAGCCTTATATATTCCCACCTATTTTTTCTCCCGATTCTAAGTACAACGTGTAGATATGTGCCCCCGAACCACATTTTATCCATTCTAAGATGCCATCAGTAGTAAGATATACCATCGTTTTACCCACTGCTCAGAAAAAACTATCCCGATTAAACTGATGCACCATCAATGGTAAGAAGGGTCCTGATTTCAGAAATGTTTAAATGCCAAAAAACTTAACCTTTTGGAATTGAGGAAATAAGATTACGTTTTTAAAAGAGGGCTAATTTTGGCTTTATGTAGCAGAAAATAAGAATTAGCTTTACATTGGAGGGTAGAGTTAATACAGTTAAAACGTCTAGTTCAGCCTCTGCTCTATAAACCATGCTGCTATTTGTGTAGCTAGAAAACAATTTATCTTTGATTTAAATACAAGTCGGCTTCGTCTTACTTTGTTTTTTTCAGGAAGCGATGATGTCTGAATAACAAGATGAAGCCCACAATTCACCTGAAATTTAGAAATTAAACTATAAAAATTTGTTCTTAATTTAAATATATACATACAATATATACACACATACATACATCTTCCCCAAGAAAAAATGGTACAGCTAAAGATACAACAAAGAATTAGAATAAAACAAGGCTTGCTTTTTGTTTGTTTCTGGCAAATGAACACGTTCTGAGCGTTTGCCGCAAATAGTAAAATCACAACTAAGAATGAAAAGGTTTCACTCTGATTCATTTGCCAAATGTCGGCAGTAATTTCACCCTCTTAGTACGTCAGGCTTTCCACACTTGTCATTTCACGTCTAAATAAATCTCAATTGAACAGGTAAAGAGTTTAAATGAATCTGAGCCTTTCACAGCAGACCAGCTCCACCTTCTGGGGAGCCCAGATCCTGGACAAGACTTTGAATATCCATCAAATAACACCCGCCCCTCCCCGCCACCACCAAAAAAAAAAAAAAAATGCCTCGGGCCAGTCCAGGAGCCTCTAGCCTCGATCAGACAATAGCTTGAGTAGACCCAGTGGTCCGTGTCCCAATAATAGAGTCCATCACCGAGACAAAGACCCCAGTCAGGAAGGACTATACGAATGGGAGAAAAGAGAAAACGAAGGCCCAACCTACGTTGTTCGTAGCCCGGCCAGAAACAGAGCGGTATTTCCCAGGAATCATGGCAGGAGACAGTTTAGAATCTGTTAGATCTGTCTTCGAGGTGACGCTACAGCAGAGATTCAGACAGACCGAAAGGGGTCATCTCCCAGGCAACCCGTTCAAGAGTTACCATGGAAACTACCATTTCCGGTCTGGTCCTCTCCCAAATCAACCCGCCAATGCAGTCGTTGTAGCTTCTGGTTGTATTTGTGGGGGCTCGGTGCATAAGCACTTCCTCGTTCTATTCTGCTGGCCTCATAATAACAGAGTAAGAGTATTGGGAGGAGGAGAAGATGGGAAAGAGGCTGGCCACATCGGTAGCTATGACAACCACCACTTCCGGTCCGTTCCTCTTTAGGACCCACCTCAGGGCTGCCCGCGCGAAATTTGTATCCCGCTGCTTCTGGCCACGAGCTTTCGGGGGAGCATTGTAGGGAGTAGGAGGAGGAAGATATTAGAGAGCCGGTACCCTCCCATTTGGGGCCCCAGTTCGGCACTTCCGGTGACCGGAGTTACTGGGAGGAAACAAGGCCGAAGTCGACGCGTGATGGGGTACCCGCCCCGCCCAGGCCGCCGCAAGGAGCGTGCCCGCGTGCGAAGGGCCAGGGAACCCCGGCTCCCCGGCACTAGAGGCTGCAGCCTGCGGGCCAGCTGCGTGGCCCCCCCACTGCGGCAACACCACCGAGGCTGGGAAGTCGCTGCTTCGCTTCCCCAGGGACCCGGCTGTGCGGCTGCTGTGGGACCGCTTCGTGCGGGGCCGCCACGCCGCTGGGTACCGGAGCAACGACCGTTCCGTCATCTGCTCTGACCACTTTACCCTGTCCTGTTTTGACGTCTCCTCAGTTATCCGGAAGAACCTGCGCTTCTCCCAGCGCCTGAGGCTCGTGGCGGGTGCGGTGCCCACCCTGCATCTTCCACCTAAGGGGGAAAGAGAGGGAAACCAAGCGGGCGGCCCCGAAAAGGGAGGAGAGCCCCAGGCAGTCAGGCATTCTGAGGCTACCCCGGTCCAGCCTCCTGTTTCCGCCTCCGGGCCGGGAAGCGGGCTGCCGCTTCACAGGTAAAGGGAGAGCCAGGAGGGACCCTTGGACTAGGTTCTAAGCCTCACCTCCAGGGTGTCTGTTTTTTCGTGTGTAAAATTTCTCATGACTGTGGTTTTGAGGTGATCTCCAAGATCCCAATTAGCGTGAAGACTTCGGAATTAAGTGACCCAGTCAATTCCTTTCACCTCCTCCTCCCCCGAAACTAAACACTCAGTGTTGTCCTTCAGAGCAGAGTCATCTTCACTCGGCGCTCCAGACTTTTTATTAGAAAGGGTTTAATTTCACCAAATCTCAAGGAATGGGGTGTTTGAAACTCTGTTTACATATTACATACGCTTAAGGAACGTCAATTACACATGTCAAAAATAGGGAAGGGGTTGCAGAGCTACTGATGAAGGTGTTGAATAAACAAACAAGTTTTCCCACCCCTAAGCTTCCCTCTTGACTACCACTAGCTGCCTTTAAGTTAAATGTTCCTAGTGAACTGATTTCACCCGTGTCCTCTTCTGCCTACTTTTGTAATTCTGTTGAGTATTGCTTACACTTATTTTGCAGCAGGTCCCTATTACCTTCTTCTCCACTTCTCATCTTAAAGAAAACTTCCGAAGCCTTTGAGATAATCAAACTTTAGTCCTATCACCATTGGTGTTAAGTGCTGTCAAGTCAGTTCCAACTCATAGCGGCCCTGTGTACAACAGAGGGAAACACTGCCCAGTCCTGTGCCATCCTCACAATCATGCTTAAACACATTGTTGCAGCCAATATGTCAATCCACCTCATTGAGGGTCTTCCTCTTTTCTGATGACCCTCTACCACCATTACGTGGATTAAATTACGGCTCTTAATAGGATATAAAAGGTTTATTTCTGGAAATGGGAAGAGTTCACCAAGAAGTTGAATGACCTGCAACTGACTTATTTTGGATTTGAGTATACTAACAGTATATTAATAGAATTTTAGAGCTGAATGAAATCTTAGAGCAGTCTAATCCAACCCACAATTTATGCATGAGGAAGCCAATTCAGAGGGTTAATAATATCCTCAAAGTCCTATAATCCTTGCTGTAGGTCTAATTACCAGAACACTACTGTTTGTGCTATACAAACCTGCATTGGGGTGGGTGCTTAAAACCCTTTAATGGCATCCTGCAATTGTTAGGATAAGCAAGAAAATTATTAACCATCTGCACGGCTCCACATGCCCTTTCCCCTGCCTACCACACCAGTCCTATACAAGATTACTGTCCCTGTTGCTCACTAGGCACCAGTCATGCTGACCTTTTCAGGTCTTGAACATACTATAACCCTTCCTTCCAACAAGCCTTTGCTCAGGTGTTCCGTGTAATATCATGGTATTATGCTTTTCCCATTACCCCACCATCACCCATTAAGTTCTTTTCCTTTCAAAATCAGCTCCAACAACTTTCCCTCCTGAGCCCATAATTATATACTCCCATTTCTCCTACTTCAGTAGCACTCACCAACATTGTCATGAAATAATTACGTGGTTTGTTTAATGTTCATCTCATACACTAGAATGTAAACTCCATGAGAGCAGGGAGGATATCTGATTTGTTTACCGTTATATCCCCAGTGCCTACAACAATATTTTGTAGGTTTAAGGAGTTCAATAAATATTTGTGGAATGAATAAGTGAGTGTAAGAACAATTTTTTTTTTTTTTTACAATGGAATTTTCAATTCTATATTAGTTCCCTTTCTCACTGAGCTGCAAACATCTGCCTCTCCTTTGAACCATCTATCCACTAACCATGCCTATCCAAACTCTTCACCCAAGCACATGTGTATATCTATAAATAGATAAATGTAAACCTATAGTAAGCAAATACTGAACCACACATACCTCTACCCCATTTTTCTTCCCCATAATTACATATACCATCTCCTCAAAAATTGGGAGAAGAAAAGCCTGACTAGTGAAACAACCCAAAATTTTATAATATAACAAAGACTAACAGTTGAGAAATCCAGAATAGATACCAAATCTATTGTCCAATTAAAAGTATACAGCCACCATTTCTAACAATCCATATTACTTTAATATACTTGCAGAGTTATCACAACACTATATGGGAGTTCTATAAAAAGTCCCTTTAAAAGTATATAAGGTAAAAAAATAATTTAGAGTTGATAGCAGTCCATTTTTAGCCTGATCTGAATTGGTAACCCCAATAACATTGCTAACAAAGTTCGCTTGTGCCACTTGTTACTCCTTCCCCTACTCAATGTTTTTCTTTCCAATCCCAGGACCAACTGACTAAAAATCAAATTTCTAGTCATTCTACATTAATTGAAGACCGATTGCAGACACAGTTCCAGGTGCTTGGTACAATATATAGGTAAATATAAGTATGACTGTTCCCTGTCTGCCTTAGTCATCTAGTGCTGCTCCAACAGAAATACCACAAGTGGATGGCTTTAACAGAGAGAAGTTTATTCTCTCACAGTCCAGTAGGGTGCAAGTCCAAATCAGGGCATCAGCTCCAAGAGAATGCTTTCTCTGTCAGCTCTGGAGGAAGGTCTGTGTCATCAGTCTTCCCTTGGTCTGGGAGCTTCTCTGCGCAGGAACCTCAGGTCCAAAGGATGTGCTCTGCTCCTGGCACTGCTTTCTTGGTAGTATGAGGTTCCCATGTGTCTCTGCTCACTTCTCTCTTTTATAGCTCAAAAGAGATTGGATTAAGACACTA